CTTTTGCGCTCTGAGAAATAAACCGGCGTATATTAAAATGAACGCGTTATTCAATAAATTTATCATCATTTTGATAGAATAACTACTTCATAGTCCGTACAAGTAGTAATAATCTCGAAATCGAATGACATGTAACTTATATCAATAACAGAGCCTACATACAGTTCTGTTATACATAGTTTTACAAAATAAACCAAATAATTTTGACAAGATATAAAACTGAAAATTCTAGTACAACGTCGTACTTCACAATCGAGATGTCGCGACGATCGCCCTTAACCTGCCGAGAGCTTCCAAAATTAGACGCTGGAGGCGATCTCTTGCCAACACACCTGACGAACACGATGTTTTGCATTTTTGCCAGTTAACCGTCTGTGGAACTAGCAATATTGTGACGGGGGAGATTAATGTGTCGGTCACGTGGATTGCCGTGTAAATAGGGTAGATGCCTAATTTTTATTTTAATGTCCGTTTGGTAGATTATTTTAAATCACTAGACACGTATTTTTTCTTTTCTTACAGAAACGAATACTTTCTACGATATATTGATTTGAAATGTCGCGTGACGTCACTTCTATGTATAAAATATACGTAGAAATAACGTTTTAGCCTCCACTAAGTATTATTTCATTACACGAGAAAATATAAAAAATACGTGTCTAATATTTTTTCATTACCTAACTTACGGACTAATTAGATTGTCATACCCTGTCATCATCTCAATTATAGGAATTTAAGGTACATTATAGTAAGGTATTTTTTTATTGTGATGTAGTACCTATATTGAGATGGGTTTTTATCCGTGTAACCTTTAAATAAACATTTTTGTTTTAATTTCAACTATAATAATTTTCACAATAAAAAGAATCTGCCTTATAACAAAAATAAAAGTTTTTTTTTCTCTCTTCTTTGGCAAACGAGTCTCCAAAAACGATCTTGTCGACTATACTGCCAGTGTCTAGTACATACAGTTCTGTTATACATAGTTTTACAAAATAAACCAAATAATTTTGACAAGATATAAAACTGAAAATTCTAGTACAACGTCGTACTTCACAATCGAGATGTCGCGACGATCGCCCTTAACCTGCCGAGAGCTTCCAAAATTAGACGCTGGAGGCGATCTCTTGCCAACACACCTGACGAACACGATGTTTTGCATTTTTGCCAGTTAACCGTCTGTGGAACTAGCAATATTGTGACGGGGGAGATTAATGTGTCGGTCACGTGGATTGCCGTGTAAATAGGGTAGATGCCTAATTTTTATTTTAATGTCCGTTTGGTAGATTATTTTAAATCATTAGACACATATTTTTAATTTTCTTACAGAAACGAATACTTTCTACGATATATTGATTTGAAATGTCGCGTGACGTCACTTCTATGTATAAAATATACGTAGAAATGACGTTTTAGCCCCCACTAAGCATTATTTCATTACACGAGAAAATAAAATAAAAAATACGTGTCTAATATTTTTTCATTACCTAACTTACGGACTAATTAGATTGTCATACCCTGTCATCATCTCAATTATAGGAATTTAAGGTACATTATAGTAAGGTATTTTTTTATTGTGATGTAGTACCTATATTGAGATGTGTTTTTATCCGTGTAACCTTTAAATAAACATTTTTGTTTTAATTTCAACTATAATAATTTTCACAATAAAAAGAATCTGCCTTATAACAAAAATAAAAGTTTTTTTTTCTCTCTTCTTTGGCAAACGAGTCTCCAAAAACGATCTTGTCGACTATACTGCCAGTGTCTAGTACATACAGTTCTGTTATACATAGTTTTACAAAATAAACCAAATAATTTTGACAAGATATAAAACTGAAAATTCTAGTACAACGTCGTACTTCACAATCGAGATGTCGCGACGATCGCCCTTAACCTGCCGAGAGCTTCCAAAATTAGACGCTGGAGGCGATCTCTTGCCAACACACCTGACGAACACGATGTTTTGCATTTTTGCCAGTTAACCGTCTGTGGAACTAGCAATATTGTGACGGGGGAGATTAATGTGTCGGTCACGTGGATTGCCGTGTAAATAGGGTAGATGCCTAATTTTTATTTTAATGTCCGTTTGGTAGATTATTTTAAATCATTAGACACATATTTTTAATTTTCTTACAGAAACGAATACTTTCTACGATATATTGATTTGAAATGTCGCGTGACGTCACTTCTATGTATAAAATATACGTAGAAATGACGTTTTAGCCCCCACTAAGCATTATTTCATTACACGAGAAAATAAAATAAAAAATACGTGTCTAATATTTTTTCATTACCTAACTTACGGACTAATTAGATTGTCATACCCTGTCATCATCTCAATTATAGGAATTTAAGGTACATTATAGTAAGGTATTTTTTTATTGTGATGTAGTACCTATATTGAGATGAGTTTTTATCCGTGTAACCTTTAAATAAACATTTTTGTTTTAATTTCAACTATAATAATTTTCACAATAAAAAGAATCTGCCTTATAACAAAAATAAAAGTTTTTTTTTTCTCTCTTCTTTGGCAAACGAGTCTCCAAAAACGATCTTGTCGACTATACTGCCAGTGTCTAGTAAAGACGGCAGTTTAATGAACCGTCGAAATTAACGTTGTGGTAGTTTTTAGTTATTAGTAGCTGAAAGGACAAAACACTTGGGTTAGTGAACATATAATTCATAACAACTATTTTACTGTATAGTATATAGAGGTACAGAGGTGTAGAAAATAGTTGAGGGGACATACACAATACAGACAGATAAGTATGTATATCATTTACATTATTGAACACCGTCATATCTTAATATCATTTTCGTTAATATATTTACTTAAACAATGGATTAGTTTATGGGAAAAGTGAAAATAAACGTTTTGTATATAAAAGACTTGCAAAACAATTCTGTTTTATATTCCGACAAATGTCATACTTCGTTAATGACAAGGTGTACAGCTGATACATAATTTAATTCTACAATTGTAATAATAAATTAATGGCCACGAGAATAAGACGTAAAGTTATGAGTAATTGAGTGTTCTTAATTTATGTCGACATATTGGAGGAATTCCAAATTATTCCCATTTGAGTAACATGGAAAAGGCGGGTGATACAATACTTTACAATTGTACTCGCACCTATTATACTTGTTTAAAATTATCCTAGTACTTGCTAACGTGTAACAGGTTTTAGATTAGATAACAGCTTTTCTTCTTCTACTCTTATAATATCTTCTGATTCACTTCGTTGCGGGAACCAAGACAGTTACTCATGTCCGTGGGACGCGCCGGACTTCAATGTTCCGGTGTTTTCATGGTTGTATCTACTGTAGATCCTGGCTTACAGGAGTTGTTTTTGGGAGGTTGTGGCGGGCTTGTCCCTTAAAAAAAAAAAGATAACAGCTAAGCCGAAAACATTACGGGTCAGATTATTGGCCTGCTTTACTTAAAAAAAACTGAATTCGTGTGTTATTATCGTTACCGTTCCTATAACACTTTACAGGAAATGCTATATGACTGCCTCGTTGGCCGAGTGGTCGCAAGTACGACTGCCGGACAAGGGGTCTCGGGTTTCATTCCGGTCGGGCAAAGTATTACTGGGTTTTTAAAAAAATTCTCAGCAGTAGCACGGAGTCTGGAAATGTGCCCGGTATATGGCAATAGGCTCACCCCCTATTACATGGGACTCATAACATAAATAGTGAAAAGTGGGCGTTACATTGTACAGTACATTGTACGTGATGTTGTTATTTATGAAATGCTACATAGAAATGGTAAGTATACCTACATGAATTTGCAAAATGAAAATATGCAATGCCCTCTCGCCACTAGTTTTAAAGTCCATGACATTGGAATACTCAACATTTTCCAAATATTTTGGCTAGGAAACCTAAACGTGAATATTGAGAGAATAGTAAAATCTATCGCATTTCATATTTGTGCCAATATCCGTGCATTCAATTGGAGTGTTACATAACATAACATCACGCCTTTTATCCCCGAAGGCAGAGGTGCTGCTTGTGCAACTGTACAATGTAACACCCACTTTTCACTATTTTTGTTATAAGTGCCATGTAATAGGGGGTGAGCCTACTGCCATAATATACCGGGCACAATTCCAGGCTCCGTGCTACTAATGAGAATTTTTAAATAACACAATAACACTTTGTCCGACCCGGGAATCGAACCCGAGACCTTGCACGGCAGTTGCACTTGCAATCAATCGACCAACGACGCAGTCAATTGTATAAAAATGTAGTGTTGTTACGAATTATACAACTGTCAATACGGATATACTACTTAAGATTATTTTTAAGCACTGTCACTTACATTTATTTTTGATTGGCATGATTTAATGGCTTCTCGATGGATGGATGACCGTATGAAGGTCGTAGATAAGAGTGTTTGTAGATTTGTGATGGAATATTTGCTATTGATTGAAAGGTACAGTCACGTATCAAATCTGAATAAGTACTTTAAGTAGGAATAATTATATGGATATTCTGTTGTTTTAGACGCAGGTTGTCAGAAAGGTAAACGTAATTAGAAATATTTTAACTCAATAGTTCATCCAATGTCTAATCCTTTCAAATAAGGATGTTTCACGTGTCACAAAAATGTTTTATTTCTTAAAATTATAATCAAAAAGCAAAGAAGTAACGATGTTAATTCGTTTCATGGAAATAATAATTTTGTTAATATCTAATCATTAAGGCTTATTTTGCTGAAAATGTGATAAATAAATAGTATTCAATTTTATTTTAAAATAAAAAAATGTTATCGACTTTTTTTTCTTTCCAAAACCAGTGCACTTGTGACCTATTTCCAATGACATAATATCATCGGAGTCAAGTTCTAAAAGAAACTAGACGTGCTGACACCAAACATAAAATCTACAATGTCGTCCCGATATGTACTCCCGCACTCCACACGAATGAGTGGTCTATCTTTTTTTAGAATTTAGCGAACGAGACGCGATGGGCTGAATAGAAGCAGTATCTTTGCGTTAGGCGCGCGCACTACAGTAAGTTCCAATTAAAAAGTTTGCATTATAAAAAAAATGCAGCATTGACAGATTAACGAAAATTTTTCCCGCCATTTTGTTCTGTCAAATTAACTAATCAATTTTACTGTGCAAAATTAGTTGGCGTGTAATTTATTTTGTGATTTTTGGTTAATGAATTAGTGTTCATTAATGTTGATATTAAGTGTTAGTGACAGAGTGACGATTAGTGACAATTTTAACGTGTGACAAGTTTTTTTTTATTGTTGCCGTGTGTGAAATTGGAGAGTGCCCAGGCGCGACATATCTATTTTAAGATACTTCTTTCTAACATTTTATTTAGATATATTTAACTAACATATATACTAACTGTTTCTTGACATAAAACTTCACACCTTAATGTAATTATAAAATATCATTTTTACTTGTAAATTAGTTCTTAGGTAGATATGATCATAAAGTTTGTTAGTTGCTAGGCTAACACACTTTTAATTTCTAGAGCCTAAAAAGTAGGTTTTAACACTGATTGTAATTCTGATTATAAAGAAAATATTGATTTAATCGTATGAGTCAGAAAGTTCCTTATTGCGAGATCAAACAACTACTAAAATGAAGATATATGATTAGATACGCATAAGATTGCATAATTATGTAGTTTTATAATTTTATTATGATTTTTAATTCGTTTTATTATGTAAAACTATGAAACGTAACTACATTAGAATATTTTACGAGAAGCGCCTCCACAATTAAGCGTCAGGCGACATTTTCGGTTAAACTCGTTTCCTAATTTCAGCCAGTGTATACCAAACTTAGATGTACACAATTACGTGCTTAGGAAAGCACAAGAATCTTTTACAAACTAGAATATAATTTTGCCATAAATATTAATCAAAAGTATCAAAATTAACTTTAAAGAAATTATAATGATTATATTTTCAGTAAATAGGCACACTTGACAGCACAGTTGGTGCGGTGGCTGGGCAACCGGTTGCCGCGCAACGTGTCGCGGGTTCAACTCCCGCACGAGGCACCTCTTTGTGTGATCTACAAATTGTTGTTTTAGGTCTAGGTGTCATGTGTGAAGTTGTATGTTTGTAAACGCACCCATAATACAGGAGAAAATGCTAATGTGGGGCAACGTCTTAAAAAAATCACTTTTAATGTCACTAGATGAGATGAAGCTAAAATTTTCTATTTGTCTGCTCTAGCAAAAGATACATTCAGAGCTTATAGTCTTTCAAACATTTCTAATACTTTCATTGAAACTTATAGGAACAACTTTTTAAATTGTAGTCAGCAGTTTCAGGATCGAATCCGCCCTAGTCAACTAGATCAAGACAGATGTTTTCCAAAAGATAGGTCGTGACGTCATGGAAAGAAACTAATGTTAGTAGGTCAAGGAGTGCAGACAATGAGTTCATGATTCAACACAACTGTTGACGGTCTTGTTTATGTGTTGAATACTTCAAATATTTTGCGGTGTAGTGAGCATGTATTGTTAGAATAATGTATAGTAGAGATATAGATCAGCTGCTGAACGTTGCCTTTGTTTTGGCTTAAAATTAATTTGGTATAGGGTGTCCGGTTTTCTATTTAATTAGCCTAGTATTACATTTCAGTTTACTAAAATTTATATTTGGTTCATAAAGCTAAAATACCATAATTTATTCATTAAATTATCTTTACCAGAAAGCTATCGCTGGTTTATATACTACGTCGCGTGAAACATACCTAATATATTTATTATTGTACTATTTCTACAAAAGCACTAAGAACACTAAAATAGCAGTTACATTACTAAAACAATAACTACAATTAATAACAGTTGTTTCTAAACACTTAAACCAGAAATAGCTACCAATGTCGTTGCAAATTGCCATTTCTTCAGATGACAGCATTTCAAGCTATAAACCCATTATAAATTGACCTCTAATCGTAGAGAAAGCCAACATAATCCTAGTCCAATTTAAAATAGAAATTTATAGTCAGATGCGCTGTCGCGTGTACGCACGTAAACTTTAGACTTTGCCAAAATTTATGTAGCTATTTACTATATGTGAATGCTGTAAAAGATGCGGTTTGAATGTTCGTATTTTTCGTTGTTAAGAAGACGTGTTTTATAGTGCTAAAGATTAATAAGCATTAAACATTTTATAGTACACATAATTGTGAGTGTAGCCAGGTGTAGAATGGTTTTTAATACTATAGAAAACTTTTTAAAAGTTAAAAGTCAAAAGTCAAAATCATTTATTTCAATTAGGCCAGAATGGCACTTTTGAACGTCAAAATAAAAATAATATTAAAAGTGAAGCTATTTGCTCATTCCAAGGTGTAGATTCCTATGGAGAAGAACGAGCAAGAAACTCTATAGGTTACTCTTTTTCAATCAGGTTCACAATACAATTTACTAGTTACATAGTTTTGCTGTTTGGATTGTGCGAGAATAATGTAATACCAAAATCCAGTCAAAGTGAATTTAATGAATATTATAAATGATGACATACCGATTCTTTTGGTTATTTCGGTTTGATCAATAAATTAATGATACAACGCTATGCTAAAGCAGAACAAAAGTAATTCGACATCAAATATGTAATATATTTGAAAATGAAATATCTCAATGATATTTTTAAATTTTCAACCCTGATATCAAAGGAGAAAAGTCTTTTAATCAAAATCACGACCACTCAATCAACACCGTAAAAACTTCCAAAGCTCTTTCCTTATCAGATTTCTTTTAAGGATAAAAATATACATTTCATTTTTTTTTCAAAATGTTCCAAAATTAACTTATTTGGTATAATCCGATAACACCGACTTATCTATCATTTAAACACCTCTTTGACGTTGCAGACACCTGGCTGATGGGTGCCTGACATCCTATTACCGAGGATTGCCCCTTTAATGTCTGCTGAGGTTTATTACAGACAGATTATATAAATTATGTCTGTGCCTTCAAAAAAAAAAAAGAATTGATAATAAAGTCTGGTCTTACGATGATGATTATTCGATATTTTATTTTTATGATTTGTGATTTGATTACAAACATTATCGTCCTATTCTTTTTTTTTTTTTTTTATAATATTAAAGATTATTTCTCCACGGACTCTAGGTCCGTGCCCTTGTCATACAGTTTTTTAATTATAATACATCTAGTCAATATTTATAAAGTAAAGAGGGAACCTAGTTACATACTACAATTAACTACATCTATAATTATTAGCAAAAGTATAGGTTACATAATAATTAGGCACTATTTATTTATTTCTATTTCAAAGGCTTTATGAAACCAGCCCACCAACACGATGGGAGAGCCGACCTGACCCAGCAGAAGGCACCCGTTCACGAGTATGACGTGTGTGTCAGCAATTGGTCCGGTCAACCTTTTTATTGGGAACGGAACAACCCAACACACAGCGCCACCGACTGTAGGACATTTATGTGTGCATGACGCCTCAACCCTTGCCACATGGGCCGATTCCAATAAAGCGTACAATAGTCCAAAATTCAATTGGTCATATTCTATTTCTACATGTTTCTGCACACACATTTCCTCATGTTGCATTCGTTCCATCACAAGCAACACTCCCCGCCCAAGAGAGCACCCACGACTGCCGCGTCCCTGTGTTTGATGGCCATTTTCAGGTTGTAGTCCTTAATACCTTGCTCACCCTCATCAGCCGCCTTCCTGATTAGTTTGCTTATCGCGTCTTCACTGTTGTCTGTGTAATAGATGCAACCATGCGTGTGACGCGATATTGCTACTACCGCGTGTGGTACGCTGTCATGTATTTGATGTTTCTTTGTTGCTGTGTTGACAACAATCACATTCGCACACGAAAGTCCCTGTGCCTCGTGTATCGTGAGCACGCGTGATCCCACGGTCGACCCGTATCCCTGGTTCTTAAGGGATTCCTTCTCTGCCTGAGTGTGTACCAGGTATAAAGTGTCGGGGAGTGACTTTGGAATCATCGCCCCCGAGAACCTTTTTATCTCGAGGGATCTCACGAACGACCTGGACGAATATATGCCACTGTAAACTGTGCTGAGGGCATACGCCACATCCATTGGATTTCTGTGGGTACACATCAATTCCTGGCTTATGGGCGTGATATATGTAGGGCGGCTGTAGAGTAGAGGGAAGAGGTTATCACGATCTATAAACGGAAGCTGATTTATGTCACCAATTAGAAGGACTTCCTTGGCTCGAGTTATTCGGGCGGCCATCACAACGGCTCCAAAGTGGTTCATGAGAGCCTCATCTACCATTAGGCGATGGCAGCTCTCTCGCTCCCCCAAGCCGTTTACTAGGATGGACGCCATTGTTCGAACCCTAGATTTGACGAGTCCTCCGATTCGGCAGGATAGTTATTCTATGACCTATTATCGTCCTATTCTATGACCCTAGCGTAGATACTAATAGCTAATGAAAAATGTAATATAAAAATCTCAGACATATTATTTCAATTTAATTCTAAATCAACAATACGGTAGTTGACAGGTAGTCAAATTCAATACTTTTATTGAAATGTCAAAAACGATACTTTTGTATGAATGTTGTATTGGTTTATTACGCTATTTATGACGTCATCATATTTCTGCGTCAAACAGCATACTTATTTTCTTAAAATAAGCGAGACAATATCCAAAAGTAGGTAAATTGTCATATCAATGGATGAAAGTATGATTATTTTTTAATTATTTATTGCATTGAAAAGTTGAAATAATTTATTTTAAACCTAGGAGACAAGTCAATTGTTAATACTACACCACAAAAAAAGTAGGTATGCACCTGAATATATTTTTGGTTTTAGGTACATTTTATCGTAAACATGACGTAAATACTGCAGTTCAAACATGACTGCAACTAAACCCTTAATACAATAGTACTATCACAAAACAGCAGGCACCGTGATATCAAGAAAATTTAAAGAAACAATAGGGTAGATGCTTAATTTTTAATGTTCGTCTGGTAGATTTTTTTTTAAATCATTAGACACGAATTTTTTATTTTCTTACAGAAACGAATACTTTCTACGATATATTGATTTGAAATATCGCGTGACGTCACTTCTATGTATAAAATATACGTAAAAATGACGTTTTAACCTCCACTCCTAAACTTTGATTCGTTTTATCTAAGTATTGTTTCATAACACAACAAAATAAAAAAATGCGTGTCTAATATTTTTTCATTACCTAACTTACGGACTAATTAGATTTTTAATTTCCATACCCTGTCATCATCCCAATTCTAGTATTCCATAATGATTGGCGACTAATGGCCCGTAACAACTTCCTAAGTTCAAAGTCACCTAAGCTGAGCAAGTGAGCATTAAGTAAGTCTCGTTAATCTATGTAAACCGACGTCGCTTACCTATTAGTTACTGTACATAAATTAATTTACGAAACTTTGACTCAACAAAAGCGGAGATTAATTGTGTTATTAACATAAAGGAACATTTACGTAGTGCTATTAGGAGGACAGAAGGACCAAAACTTCTTATATGCCATACACTTAGAATGGCTTGAAAAAATGATAAAATAGTCATACTTTTGGTAAACATAATAATTTACATATCATAAGTAATTGGCTGCCTCTTGAAACATAAAGCACTTAAAAGTCTGATATTTTATCTTGTTCCTAAAGGATACATAAAATAATATAACCAACTTAGATGGTTCTAATTGGATAGTGTAATTAGTATTTGTACCGTTCTATGCTAAAAATGAAATAAATAAATAATCAAAAAATAAATGAACAAACAAAAAATAAATGAACAAACAAAAAATATATAAATAAACAAAAAATAAATGAATAATCAAAAAATAAATAAATAAACAAAATGTGACTGAGAGTAAGATATTTTCTTTGTATTTGATGGGCCGAAGGTGTGCCTCTAAGTATATTGCCTGGTGGTAAGCGATGATGCGGCTTACAAGAGAGCACGTCAATATGGCACTAAATTACCAAATTGTAAAGATACCTAAGATATTATTCAAAAACTAAATCAGATAACGTCGACCTATGAAGTACAAAAAAAAATTAACCCAAAATAGAACCGATTCCAATTGAAAAAAAACTGAGGTAAAAGCCAACGTTAATAAAAAAAAAGTGGAATTTCGTAGCGTTTCATAGCTCAATATTTACATATGCTCAGTTAAAATTTCAAGCATTTTCCTGATTGGAAATTAATATTCGGGCAATTTGCGAAGAAACGTCGAGTGAAAGTTTTCAATTAAAGTTTTTACAAATTCATTGACTTGTTCGTTTGATATTGTTCTTTGTATTTGGCAGGTTTATTATAGAAATGTAATATTTTCAGCTCTGTTTCAAATCACAATAAAGTCAATTAATTGTGTTAATTTTTTATCCAGGCTATGATAACACTATTTGTTTTTATAAGTGCAATAACAATGTTTTTTTAAATAGTCGTTGTTTTAAAGTTTATCTAGTGTTCGATAGCAAACCAAATTGTAATTAAAATAAGATAAAATACATAGGTAAGTAGAAAAATCAAATAAATAAATAAGCCTTTTATTTCATTCCCATAGTAACAATGATACATATAAATTGGTAGTAATTAAACAATACAAAAGTTTAACAGTAAATATTATCTTACAATTCCATTAGTAATTTATTTCTTTATATCCAAAATACCAATATGCATTATATTATTTTTTTATTTTAAGCCTTGTATTAAATACTATGTTTTCGCTTATTGACGTGCTTACTTATGTAACTGTTTGACGATAAACTCGACTAGTTTCTTGCCATACTAGAGGCTCATATTCATGAGCAGCATTCCGCGATCTGCGACGCGGCGACTGTCGCGCTGCTACTGTTACTTTAACCCCTGTAGTTTAGAAATATCATCTACATTAAATCTTTTTTTTACTTACATACATACAT